AAAAAAACACAGAAGCAAACCAGCAAAATGCTCAAACTGCCCCACCTCGTTCAGGAGCGCGCTCTGCTCAAGCGAGAGCTTCATGCCCTTGAAGATGTCACCGACCGTTTGGGCATAAGGGGTTCTGTCAGGGCTCTCCAAGTTTAGGGTTGAGGGTTTCGGGTTTAGGGTTTAGGGTTTAGGGGGTCTGCAGGAGATCAAAAAAGGCTCTATATAAGGGTTCTACAATAGGGTTTTGCAGGATTCATGAGCGTGGTAACATAGTAGCCCTTCGGAGTGCTATCGTTCTCACCTCTCCGCACACGCTTCCCTTTCTCGTAAGTCTTCACATTCTGATCGGGTGGGCAGACGACGTGGTTGCTGCTTCATCGGTGCTATATCGAAACTGCTCTGCACGTGCTAATTCCGTCGGGGGAAAGCTTAAGGTCCTCATGCAGCCACGACCCACGAGCCTGGAAACACGTGTGCCAGCTACTCAATTAATTGCCACATACCGGCCAGACACTTCTCTAGTCATGTCCTCTCTAAGACTCTAAGCACAACTTCGCCAAATCTTACCGTCCCAAGCCCGCCCTTAAACATGCACCTCCGCGCATAAGGTGCTCTGTAAGAAAATTTTAAGTTACACGCATGCATCTGCAGAGTGTGGCGCAGCAGTATAGTTGTAAACTGTGGTCTCGTAGTATGAAATAACGCCATGTGAAGTTTTCATGTTAAGGGTTTGGAAAACATACAATTACAACTCCAGAACTCTTCATGTTACCAGCCAGCCTTTCTACACCCGAAATCCTCAGCTCGAAATCCACGGCTTAACGCAACAATGCACCAGAGCCTTCCAGAACTCTTCTAAAATTCCGGAACTCTCATGGAAGTCTTGTTTTCGAACCCTTGTTCGAATCTTAAAGCCGTAAAGATCCTTAACGAACCCTTGTATACCTTGATTGCCCAACCCTTATAGAATCCTAAAGAATCTCGAAGGGCCCATGTAAAACTCTTTTCATCAAAGCCTGGTAGGCCTCAAAGACCTTCAGAGAACCATTTCGGGTAATCGTGCAAATCCTGCCTGCATCTGCCAATCTGTGCGGCATTGTGGGAGCAGTTCCCAAGTCGGCGCCGGGCGGCAAGGCTTGGTGAGCAGTAGTTGTTGTTGTCGTTGCTGTTGTTGCTGTTGCAGTTGCTGTTGTTCCCATTTTCTGGTTTTTTGCTGTTGCAGGGGCGCATTACCGGTCAGGAGTCAGGGATTCGGGTCGCCCTAAACTTTGTATCTGCGACACCAAAGCTGCGGCCTTGCCGAAACCAAACTCCTCTATGTTCCCATGCAGGTCTTTGCTTGGTGTGCTTTTTTGGCGGGGAGGGGCGCTGTTGAAGACTACAGCTGAAATGGTTGCGGGCGATGCCTTTTTCGCACGGACGACCTGTGTGGAGTTTCCCTCTCGTTTCTAGCAACACTTACACTGGCATGAAGAACAATGGCGGCACTCTCGATACAGCGAATGGCTACGGATTTGTGTATGTAGATGAATTCTTCCGTCCAGGTGGACACATCGGCCCGACATCAGTTCATGTGACTTTGCCCGACACGGCAAGCATTTTCGAAGACACGTGCTTTGCGCTTTCTTGTTTGCATTGGACCGTCCTACAGCGCACCGGCCGGAGGCGGCTTTGAGAGCAGGCCTGCATCTGCCAGCCTGCGGTAGCTCGTTCTTTTCGTTGCGGCCTGGAAGAAAAGTCAAGCATTTGACATGGAACGACAGTGGCCTAACAAAAGCTGTCTCAGCAGGGAGAGAAGCCTGGCCTCTTCAGGGTTCGCCTGAGTTGGTGCAAGGATGGTTCTTGAAATCATGACAATTCAGGCTTTCTTGTACCTACGATGTAGCAGGAAACTCCCGGGCCTAAGTTCTAGACCTCGGGGGCACGCCGCTTCGATGCTGCTTTTGGCAAGGCCTTAGAGGAGCGAACCGGGTAGAACATGGCAGGTCCGACAGACGAAGTCGCGGCGGCTGGTCGGTGAAGATTCTGCTGGACAATGCTGCAGGCACACCCTAGAAGCTAGGTTCCAGACCTGCTTCGGCGCACGAGCACCACTGTCGCTGGCGACCTGGCCAAGACGAGCGCAAAGTCGAGCATCGGGGCCATTGGCTATGAGGCGATAAGCACCCTTGACGCCTCCGCCTTCGGCTTGTGCGCCGCTGCCTTGCAAGGGAAGATGCTAAAATGCAGGGGAAGAAGACAAGTAAGGGGGACCCCGCAGCCCCCTGGGATTGGGCCTACTGCATCCCGCACACTGCAAAACACTGCTTCTGCCAAAGCGTTTCGAAACAGCTTTCAAATTGCCGCCATCACTTGCAACAAGGGCTGATCTGCTAGAAACGTTTCGCGAACACTATGGCCCGCCGTTGATTGTCGGCAATACGCTATGTGTTGCTTCAATCGGGCGTCGGATATCTGTTTTGGGGGTTTTGCATGCTTGGATTTTTGGGGTTTTGGGGGTTTTGCAATGTTGGATTTTTT